GAGAAGGAAAGATGCAGATCGCAGACTGGTTAGAATGGTAGGATTAGTGGGGATAGAGCTTTCGTCTTGGTTTGTGCGTTTTTTTTGGGCCTTGTGGACTCGTTTGGATGTACGAACCAGGGTATCTCGGTTCTGGTTTCGTCCGCAAGAGGACAACAGGGGAGGTGGGTGGAGAGTGTCACCGTTACTGGGAACAACAGTTCCAACCAGCCGATTATCGTCGGGTCAGGACGTATACGCCTGTGAAATAGGAGTAGAATAAGGTAGGAAAGTAGTGTAGGTAGATAGCAGTACTTAAGAAGCAATAGCTTAGATAGTTAAACATTATATCCCATGGGTAGTAATATAGGCTAGAGATGTGAAGATGATCGGAAGCCTGTTGATGACAGTAGTCTTAGTTTGTTTGGTTTAAGACTGTTTTCTCTCAAGAGATGATGATGCCAGATTAAGTTACCGACTGATGATCCGAGCTTTGCCATGTGTGGAGATGTCATCAATGGTTGTTCTGTCTTTGGTTCCTTGAAATATCGTCCTTTCGTTTTTTTCGATGTTTTCTCTCTCTCTAAAAGTGGATGGTTCGATCGTTGCCCTCTTGCAAAACGAAGCACCTCTACCCCCCTTCACTTCAATTCGCCACTAGCACAGGTTTGGCCGAACTTCACGTGATAAACGGCCCCGTGGTTACCCTCACCACAAGTTGGACATACCAAATGGTTCTACCTCGCCGCGTTTAAATATCGCCTCCCGCGTCTTGCTTTTTGCTCACGATGTGCCGACGTTTTTTAGTCGAAGTAGCACGAGCATCACGGGTCGTGCTCGTGCGAAGCGCATGTGGTGTACGCATGCTAACACACTCATGAGGACGTGTTTCCTCCATCGCTGTCGGGGGGTGGCCCCCCCGTCCACACTGTGAAGCGTTTTTGCGTTCCTTCTACGCCCCCGCTTGGAAACGAGGTGATGATAGTGGCTATGGGGTTGCGCGGTTCATGGTGAGGTATGATGTGAATTTGGGGACAGATGGTGGGAACCTGCTTTGACGTATCTCTGTTGTCCTCTTGTGCGTGGTTCTGTCCCTCTCTCTCTCTCTCTCCCTCTCTCTCTCCCCCCGCCTTTGATCCTTACTCCCGAAAATCTCCCCTACCTTCCTTTTTTTCGCCTGCGATCACCCAATCCCGCTCGTTTCCCTGACCTCCCCCTTGCCTCTCTGTTCTTCTTTTCTGCATGTTTTTTTTTTCTTATTGCACAGCCGCAGAAGCCCCCTAGGGAATCCTTCCCTAGTGGGTGGTGGAATGAGTTGACACATCGTTTTCCATGGCTTGAGGATTGTGCCTGGCCTGCGAAACCAACGCAAGCCTTGATGACCTGTGTTAACCCTGGAGTCATGGACACGATTAAAGACGCGTGGGATACAGGACGCTTCCCCCATTTTTTTGAGATGCTTTGCTTTAATGACCTTGCCGTTCTCGCTGGGGCCTGGGATCGCAGTAGGGAGGAATTCGATGATGGGCTGAGGGTTTTATGTGAACGACTCGAGTTGAGGAAGTAGGAATATGCCAGAGAATGTAGGGAGTTGGGGGGAAGATCTGCAAAAGTTGAACGGATCTTTCTCATAATTTGGGGTGTAAATGACTCACACCTAGAAGGGCGGATTCCCGAAACACGAGGGCAGACATCACCTACCACAGGAGATGGTCGGGCTACAAAATGCGACGGTCTTGCGATCGGAGCTGAGGAGAGGGAGGAAATGGAGCGTGCAATCGGCGCCATTTCGAACACCATCAGAGACTCCCCCCTCACAGACAGCCTGGCGGGCGGCGGTGCCTCGGAACGAGACCGATATACAACATTCGCTCCCCATGCTTTCGCATATTGGGTAGAACACACGTCCACAGGGTTCCGGCACGCGATCTGGAAGATGGAGACCTTTAACCACGTTGCGCCGATGTCCATCAGAGCACTCCAGTTCCTTGGGAATGTCACAGATGCACAGGTCAAGGATTTTACCGCTCAAGTATTGAAAGGCAAGCTGAAATTCTCGGGGAGAGTCCCCCCACTAGACCCCCAGGACCTTAAATTCCCGCCCATGCGCGCCTTCGACCCGGACAAATGCGGTGAGACAAGTTCTGGGATGTGGCAGAAGGTGATTAGGCAGCGAGATAGACTGGATCTTAGGAACATAAGAAAGATATGGAGTGTAGGTAGACCCTATCTCAAGTGCAAGTGCAAGAAGGAGAAGAACAGGGACTGCGGAGTCACTCCTCTGTGGTTCGACCACGCCCTTTGGTTCCTACTCGCGCACCCGGACGTACTATTCCCGGACATGTCCTCGATCAAAATCAGGACTTCGATATTGATCCACTATCTCAGAACCACGTGGAGGGAGGGAATACTCGCCGCCATCAATTTTCATTTTATTAGGGATTTGATGATGGGCTATATCAAAGAACTTGAAAAGGATGCAGCACTCGAGACGGAGGGCCTGCTAAAAGATGACCGCCTGTGGAATTACCCGATCCCAGCCGTGCTCGCACGAATCTTGCTCCCTACATGGATCCCCGAGAAGCCTACGCGATTCCCGCTCACCTCTCCGTGTGCGGCAGCTCGAAAGAGAAACGCATGAGTACAAATCCCGGGCCAGACCACACTTAACTTTCGCAGGGTGGCACCCATACCCGGCGGTCCCCCGCCACCCACACCTCCTCCTCCTCCTCCCTCCTCCTCCC